AGTTTCCTACGTACCAAAAACGTAGCCAACACATGCCTGCTCCACGGCTGAGTAAGGGATCTGAGCATCTGCTAAAGCCTTCAGACCTATAAAAACAAATTTTTTTCTTATCAAAAAGTACTCTAGCCATACAGAAAAATAAACTTGAGGAATTTGTGAGTAAATGAACGTAACCTGAAAACATAATGTTAAGTGAAATAAGTTAGACATACAAGTGCAACTATCACATGGATTCTCTTATATGAGAAATTATATATCATTAGATATACATATATTATATATATATATATATATATATATATATATATACACACACAAATGAAGAGCAAAATACAACAGAGGTATGTAACAAGTAGGAAGAGGTTCAAATACTTCCCAAAATTACATATTTCATTGTTTTAAAAATATCTCAATATATATGTTAATTTGCTTCAGTTATATTAATAGTATATGTTAGCTCATTGAACAGAAAGTTTGGGTTATTATCTGCTTGTTTCTCTTTTGTAAGAACCTTTCTGGTTTATGTCTTGTACTGAATTACTACTCTAAAGATAACAATTCACAGTGCAATAACTATTGTTATTCTCTTATTATTTGGTTATGAAAATTTGTTTTACTGTTTCATAAAAAGCTTTTTTGAGATGGAGGTCTCACTTTGCAGTTCAGGCTGGCCTTGAACTGATTATGTAGCCTAGACTAACCCCAAACTCATGGCAGTATTCCTGCATCAGCTTCCTAAGTGCTGGGATTACAGGTGTGCACCACTATACCCGGCCAGACAGATTTTCTGGCCCCTACTCAATTTCCACCAAGGAAAAATTTCTACAGAGAATGAATGTGAAATGAAGTGTCCTCCATGAGAAACAACAGCAGTTAATCAAATCTCATAAATCTTAATTTCGGGGTGGAAGGTGGTTGGCCCACCAGGGGTCCCAAGGGAAATTTTCAAGGGGGTGAGGTCCCAAGGTTAAAGAACACGTGCCCAAGACATCAGCTACAGCAGGAGGCAGCATGGGGCAGAGCAGAGCCCAAGACCACAGGAGCAAGAGTTGCCTGCATCTTCATTGTATTATCCTTATACAATATGTTGTGTCTACACTCTTACACAGTGCTATAAACAGCACATAAATGTTTACCTGTGCTGTCACGGTTACATAACCATGCCTGCTGCACCCTGTACTAGATAAGCAGGGTCACATCCTCAAGTATTTAGAAGCCCCTGAACTTTGAAGCAATGGTTCCCCACAAAGGTTAAAATACTGATTAAACAACATGTAAATATTGAGTTGGGTAATAAGTTGATGCAGAATGTAAATATACATGTACTGGGAACACAGAGTACTCAAAGAAACAAGAAAAACATCTAAGAATAACCTCAGTAACATTTTTTAAAATCTTTTATTTATTGATTTCTTTGGTACAGGGTCTTGCTACACAGCTCAGACTCATAGTGATCCTTCTATTTTCAGTCTCCCCAGAGCTGGAATTACAGGCATGAGCCAGCATAGCATGCAATGCCTGGGATCAAACCTGGGCCCTACACTTGCCAGGCAGGTGCTTAGACTGCTAAGCTATCTCCCCACTCAATAACATTTTTTAATTTCCCAGCACCAAGCTAGCAGGAATTACTTATGGAGTTACCCAGGAAGGGATTGTACCTAACACAGGCACTTAAGCTTAGGCTAAATGTCCTTTTTCTCCCTTCTTCCCTCACTCCCTCCCTCTGTTCCCCTATACAGAATGATTGATTGACTGATTGATTAATTAATTTAACATTTTTACTTCAACCATGCAAAAAAGCTCTCCTGCTCAGAAAGATGAAAAAAGACTTGAAATGTATATGAACCTATACCAAATCCCCAAAACGAAGATAATCATTATGTACTATCAACATGTACTAATAATAAATAATAGATAAATCTAAAAATTTTAAAAGATAAAAGGAACATGAGAAAGAGAACAACAGAAGGCAATTCCTCTGCTGGCGCTCAGACCCATAGTGAAGGCAGCTGCAGCCAGGCCCAACCATGCATCCCTGAAGAATACCAAATGCTTAAGAGAACAGGTCTTGGATCCTTCTCTCTTTGAGTTCCGGCTCACAAGAATTTAGCCAAGTCCTTTGCTTACTGGCCTTAACACTCACTAGAACAAAGTGCAACACCTCCTTTAGTCATGCAGTAGCCTAATAACAGAAAAAGAATTTTGTAATTTGGCTTAGTGGAATAGAGAGAGAAAAGCTACCATGTAGGTATTTCATACATCTTGAATTTGATTTTTTCTTTTCCAGGAAAGGAAGGCATTATAGTAATTCTGTGGTAACTCCAAAGACACACTAGAATCAAGTTGTCTACCCTTCTCTCCCACAGGTCCTTTTAACACCCCAACAAACAGCTAGACAATGCATAAACTATATGCCACAATACAATCTGGCTATGTAGGGGCTAAGCACACATACACACACACACACACCGCATGCACGCGCACGCACGCACACATACACACACTTTCTCCTTTCCCAGTGTTCCCCTAAACAATGATCTGCAAAGTTCTTCTCACTAACTAGCTCCAATGAGCTTAAAGAGTTCTCTAACCTAACCATGGAATAAGGACACATCATACAATAAGTAATGAGTGTTCAAAGATCTGAATTTTCTCTATTACCTGCTTCTTTTGCCAAGTCAGGGTAGTCCCTTGAATTCACAGCTTCAGGCTTCGTGAACTAGAATATGAAACATAATAATAAAAACACACATAGTTAAGATTTTTTTCAGAATAGTATCACAGACATTCATTCAATTACAAATTTATTTTTTTTTAATTTTTTTTTATTTTTTATTTATTTGAGAGAGAGAGAGAGAGAGAGAGAGAGAGACAGTAG